TGTGTGCATGCACACAGTTGCCAGATGAAGGGAACAGCTAAAGAACATGGGTTGACTTGGGAGTAAGGCCACAGCTGGACAATGAATGGCCCCTCCAGAAGAAATAAAAGAGGAGCGAAAGGGGAGTGGAGTTTGCAGGAGACAATTAGTTCACTTAATTGGTTCCTGACTCTCCGAGATGCCTTGCCAAGTTTTGCAGATATCGGCCTGGCAGCTCTCCAAGCCAGATAAGGTCTGTGACTGTAAATCCTCCCTTGAAAGACTTTGCTGGATGTGCATGAGAAGAATTCACAGTAAATTAATAAAAGAAGTTTTTGTCGGGCCAAGGAGTTTGCTTCATGCTCTTGGGAAGCCTCGGTCAGAACAAGGGGGTCAACCTATTCTCCAAAGCACCTGAAGGCATGACAAAAACAATGGATGGAAACTAATCAAGGAGAGAACCGAGAACTAAGAAGAAATTTCCTGGCAGTGAGGTCAATTAACCAGTGGAACACTTGCCTCCAGAAGTTGTGAATGTTCCAACACTGGAGGTTTTTAAGAAGAGATTGGACACTCATTTGTCTGAAATGATATGGGGTTTGCTGCCTGAGCAAGGGGTTGGACTAGAAGACCTCCAAGGTCCCTTCCAACTCTGTTATTCCGGATTGAAAGTGAAGTGAATAAATGCACTACCAACACCAACAGACACACCCCACTCTGTCCTCCCCAGGTAGTTCTGTTTATTAGCCTCTCACTTCAAAGAAAAAGTGGGGTGAGGATCACACAAATTTCTTGTGAATACATGCCATATACTGCAGACACATTTCTTGAACAGTTCCTGGAAATCCAAAACTCTGACATTTTATCATTAAGCACCATTCTCTCTGATGCAGGGAAAGCAAACTGAAGGATAATAATCATATTCATAAGCTGAGTAAGGTGAGCTGGTAAAACAAATTAAGGTATTGTCCAAAAGAATGAGATTGAAACCTGTGATTGCTCATTTTTCATATTCCTCTTACAATATAATGTATAAATCCTTCTATTATGTTCTGATGGAATGCACTCTCTTCCCGGCATCATTATCAGCTCCACCATGAATTTGTGAAAGAGTTTATATTGTGTGCACAACTAAATAGTGAATGTCTGCGTTTACTGGCTAGCTAAAGATGTGTGGTGGGCTGAACAATAGTAGAGTTATAAATTCCAGCTGCAAAGAAGGAGAAAAACCCACCCTATTTTATCAAAGTTATTTTACAGCTAGTAGAGTAAACCGACAATTCCAACTAATGAGTCATTTCCTCACAAGGGTTACTGTCATTCCAATTAAGAATTACATTTTTTAATGTCTAAAAATCTAAAGCTTCATAGCTAACTTTGCACTGGACAGATAAAAAAACACATATAAACTCCACCGTTGTTTTCATCTCCCACTACTGTTCTTCCCCAAATCTTCTTACTGGCCATTGGGACCAGTATTGTAATTACTGTATTTTTCGGAGAATAAGACTCACCAGAGTATAAGACGCACCAAGCTTTCGAAGAGGTGTAAATTAAAAAGACGTTTTTGCACTCTGCAGACCTCCCAAACCTTCTGCATGCCTCAATTTTTTGTGAAAAACAGGGCATGCAGAGAGTTTGAGAGGCCTACAAAGTGCTCCTGGGGACTGGGGGGGGGCGCAAAAACAAGCAAAAAAACAGGCCGTTTTTTGCTTGTTTCTGCCCTCCCCAGCCCCCAGGAGCACTTTTCAGGCCTCCCAAAGCCTCTGCATGTCCATTTTTGTGAAGGGAGTGGGGTTTCAGAAGGCCCAAAATGCTGCATTCAGTGTATAAGACGCAACCCATATTTTCACCCGCTTTTTGGGGGGGGAAAGGTGCGTCTTATACTCCGAAAAATACAGTAGTTGGCATGGCACCAACTTGGTTATGACCAGATTCCAACTATCATACAGTGTTGCTTCAAAACTATCAAGATAGATAGTAGGGTAGATATAATAGTCCTTTTTAAGCTGACACTTCATATCAATAAGCATCCATCCTTTCATCAACAGAGCGCTTGCTTGCGTTAATGTGTCCACATCAGCCAAAAACACAAAATAAGAGACCTGTTAAAGAGTCAACATACTTACCCGACCACAGGAATGCGTGTGACGTGGTGGCTCTGCCAGTATTTGAAGTGGCCATTTCAAGCTCTTGCAGCTAATCACAAACGTTGCCAGGCTAAACTACTGCAATTTTTGAAAACGTTTAGTGAGGGTTAGAAGCAATCAGGTTTAAATTAAGCGAAAAGCAGTGTTAGCAAAGTTATTCACATCATGCCCATAGACAATAAGGAGGATAATTAGATTAATTGTACCCTAGGCTTTTCTTATGTACTGCAAAAAGTTTATTTTCCCATATCGTTGTTTGGTTTTGTTTTAAAATTATTGGCTGAATCACCACTCCTTACAATGATATAACATCCAATTGCTGTGCTACAGCAATAATATTATTCAACTCATTTTTTAAAAAAAATTATGTCAGACAATATTGAGTGTTGACAATAACGAAATGAGGACTTCTCCATTCCAATCCAATAAATGCCATGTGCAAATCAAAAACCGTTTGCTCTTGGGTTAATGGAACGTGTAAATTATTTGTTAACCCAAAGGGTACACTTGGCTGTTGTACATTCCTCAACGTGATATTACTTTGTGTGACTCTTAAGCTTCCCATTAAAGAGTCCATAAATAAAGTTTCAGGTTTGCTTAGTGGGTATTTCTATTTGCTCAAACTCCATCCCTTGATTGAACTACCCAGCCTTGCTCAGACCTATAATTATTGACGTAGCCTTCAAAAGCTCTGCCATCATTTCTACGAGAGGCATCACTTACTTCTGACCCACTCCTGGGTTAATTAATGGTATCAATATGCTCCATCTGGTTTTATGTTATAAATATATGCATTAAGAATTCTTCAATGGGGAGGGGGGGCGGCTCTGCAAATATATGAAAAAAGCCTTGTAGTTATTTATTTGATTCCTACCCCGTTTCATTCAGCTTTTGTGACTCTTCTTTGTAACGCTAAGAGCTGGAGAGGGGGACTGGCCCTAAGCCCCCAAAACAGCTCGTTGTGTTAAGGCAGGATTGGAATCTGGGCCTTCCTTCCTACACTTAGGTAGTCCTTGACTTACAACCATTGGTTTAGTTCAAAGTTACAACAGCACTGAAAATAGTGACTTATACTGTTTTCCACACCTATTGACTGCGGTAGCATTCCTGTGGTCACATGATCAAAATCCAGATGCTTGGCAGCTGGCATGTACTTATGACAGTTGTAGCATCCCAGGGTCATGTGATCACCTTTTGTAACCTCCTGACAAGCCAATTGAATGGGGAGGCCCGATTAGTAAAGTATAGCCTTTACTGTCATTGTACATCATGTATACAACGAAATTGATTAGATTCACTTAACAACCATGTGACTAACTTAATAAGTGCAGGGATTCACTTAACAACTATTTGCTTAGCAACAGAAATTTGGGTTAAATTATGGTCGTAAATTCAGGACTACCCATAGTCTTTTACACTATAGTTATATAGGAGGATTTGAAAGTTCTATTATAGTGAAATTTGTAAGGTGTTATTCTTCATGTTAAATTATGCATGCATTCAAATTACCCAATCTTTATCAGGCTGCTGTATAAAGTAATGATTAACATTTGACATTAGTTACATATTATTGTTGCTAATTTTGGTATGCCTAAACTAACACATATAGTATTTGCAATAGCAGTAGATGTTCCATTGTACTTGTTTCTGCACAACTCAATAGTTTATATAGTTTTATCTTAGCAAAACAAGAACATTTGTTAAAATCTACCCTCTGTTTATCAGTGTTACACCTAAGAAGTGGTAACTGGAATCTCCAATGAGGAGCATACCAAAGTTAAAAGTATATGTCATACGAAATGTATTTATTTGCAACTATATTTTCTTATTCAAGGCAGTCGGTAGAAACTCAAAATTTGAAAAAAAAAAAATATCCATGGCTGAAATGCAAAAATAGAAAAGAAAGCGGTCGTTTTGGCTTCATTGCAATCTTTAATTTTGCTTTAATGTTCATTCTTACTAGTTACAGAAATCCATATATAGCTTATTTCAAACCTGGCAACTTTAAATGGACTTCAACTCCCAGAATTCTCCAGCCAGCAGGGAAACCTAACTATTGTTCAATGCTATGCTTTTCTTGCAATTAAGGGTACTACTTTATGTTACATAAGGGTGTGCATAGAAAGCTACGTTAATTTATAATGTGTTAACAGGCCTTTATTTTGTGTATGCTTTGAAAATCCAGTCCAAACAAGGGTTTATTGACCCAAGTTGACTAGAGGAAATATAAGAGATACGTAGTAATCATCATGAACAGTAAACCAAAACTGTCTTTTCCCTCTAAGTAAACTAAAAATTTGAAACATAATTTCATTGTTTTCCTATGTGGAAAGACACATCCACAGAAGTAAAGTAAAATGTAGCTGAAAATAGGAGGAAGGAGGTCATTATAAGTTACTGGGGCCAAAGCAATGCTGTAGATAGACTTTCTCCAGAAGACTTTTTATTAGTGATTTTTATACTGAAAGGACAGCAAGAAATGTAAACAAGCAACAGCAGAATTTGCATTTCGGGGAAAGCCAGAGCTTTGCAGCCACCTTTTCAAGTCACTTGTCAAGCTGCCAAATGCCTCAAGCAAAAGACAAAAATAGCTACGAGTTGAGGAAGGGAAGACTTATTGACTGACGGGGCCAAGGAAGGTAAAATTCTAAGGAAGAGAGCACATTTGTGAAAAGAAAAAGAAAAATCAATGAGAGAGAGAGAGAGAAATATTGGGAGATCAAATGACAGAATCAGAGAAAACTCTTGGAAAATAAGATTAGGAAAACGATCCAAGAAACTTGGAACATAAAGAGTACGAAAAACAGAAGACAAAAACAGGGGAAAGGGAAGAACTGGTGTAATTTTTCCCACTTGGGTTTTGCTTGGGTCAAATTTAAAAATCTCCATCTGTCTCCGATAGCAAAGTATCAGAAATACCAGACAATTCCATTAAGAGAGAAAGATGGAAACTCGATGAGTTATGATCAGAAAAATTCAACACTTGCTAAAGATAGAAGTTTGACTTCTGTCGTAACTACAATATATACAGTATATAAGGACCTTCCAAAATATTCTGTAAAACTAGGGTTTCATCCCAATCTTGGTGACCAAGTAAAAATAGTACGTTCAAAATAACGAATTCCATCATGCCTAGGACCCCACTGAAATGCCCCGTGGACAGCATTTTAATCCAGGTTAGGGGAGTTCTGCTTTCAAACCAATCATTGCTTATAATCAACATACTTCTCTTAAGCAGAAAGCTCAGGTTTCCTCACTATGGCTTTTAGCCACGTAGGCCAAAGAGAAGGAAACTTCAGAAACACCTAGCATTTTTCAAACAGCTTGTTCTAATGTTTACAATACCTGCATGATACTTATCTATAGAGGATTTGGGATGCTTGTAAGGGAAAGATTGCAGATGTCGCGTGTGTGTGTGTGTGTGTGTGTGTGTATGTGCCACAGGGCAAAGTCTCTCTATATCTATATCTATATCTATATCTATATCTATATCTATATCTATATCTATA